CCCCCTTGACCCGCTGGACGCCGGCGCCGCGATCCCCCTGCCGCGAACAGAGCTTCCACGATCAACCCGATCTCAATCGCGACGGAAAGTACCGAGAGTGTCGATGGGAGCTCCGAATCGGGCCCAATCGACCCCTCGATAGGAACGTCCCACACGACGGTCAACACCGAAACCTTTGACGGGAGATCGGCGTTGAGCTCAGCAGGAACTGCTACTACTGCTACAACTGGCATCCCGATCACTTCGGATACAGTTCTTTTCTCTTCGCCGAGCGATATCGATGTCTCGGAAGGGGAACCCATGCCAAAGTTCTTGAAGCAAGCGGGCATATTCCGGGAGTGACGAACAAAGATTTTCCGAATCCAGATTCCCCTCTCTTCCGGGGACAGAATAATTTTGAAGCCATAAATTAATCTCCAGGGCGATTAGTCCCTATCCGGTTGAGGTTGAAGGGTGTTGGGATATCGATATCGCGATGGAGAGGAACAGCGATCTCCGCGAGGATACAAGAACCCTCGCAGAGTAGGAAAAATTCAACTGGAAATGGGACTGGAATTCCGGGTGTTTCTTCAGATTCTTCAGTTTCTTCAGAACCCATACTTTCGGAAGATCCCGAATCTCATAGGCATCTCATGAACGAACACAAATTTCGCAGGGAGTCCCTCCATCGAAAAATTAGGATCGGGCGGTCCGTCCGGAAAAATCGCGGTACTTCCTTCTGGCTCGGGTGCAAAGTAAGAGAGCCAACGGCGAGATTTCCAAAATGAGAGACGCGCCATTTCGGAGAACAGCAATTCTCCCCACCAGGGGGAAGGACAGCCTTTCAGAATAATTGAAAATCCACCATTCAGATTAGGGTCCCTTCTGGATGCGACTAAAATGCTAGTCGAGAAGAAAATACTCGCGCGACAAACTTGATCCAGTTCAGAAAACCGCTGTAGAGGATTGACTCTCACTGAATACTCAATGGATTCCATGGCTCTAACCGTAGTCCACATGTTAGAGTTGGCAATCGTCATCACGCCTGACGACTGAGGATGGGGGCGCGCACAGGATTTTTTTCGGGAGGGGGGCAACTGGAGTTTTGGAGGAGGCCAGACGACACAAAGCGATGACGTGCCTTCTCGGGGTCTTATACTTCGGGTCCATACTTACTTACACATAGAAACCGAAGAATTTTGGTGGGGGCCATGGCTCTC